GAATTGAAATTTCTACCATGATGCAATTCGAATCTTAAAAATCTTAAAAAACAAAAGTTGTAGGTCGCTTAGCTATATTACCAACACATCTTTAATCACCTCATTCTGAGGTTGAATGAGATAATTAAAGTCAAAATACCGTGCGGGTCATCTTGAGGTGACTCGCACACATGCGGGTCACCTTGAAGTGACTCATACGAAGAATTAAAATTTCAACCATAATGTGGTTCGAATCTAGAAAAGCTTAAAAGATAAAAGTTATAGGTCTCTTCGCTAGATTTCCATCGTATGTTGAATCACCTCATTCCGAGATCGAACAAGATACTTAAAGCCAAATACCATGCGGATCACCTCAAGGTGACTCGCACACGTGCGGGTCACCTTGAAGTGACTCACACTTGGAGAGTTCCCAAAATGAATTTTTGACAGTTTTCTCAGGATTCTTTCGTTCCAGAGCCTCCCCAACTACCTTGAGGCTATCCCTAAATATGCTTAAGTGGTTATTAACTAAGAATAAGGTCAAATCATCGATTCTTATCCTAAAACGCTACATCCAAAGCCTATAAATACAAGCCTAGGGCCCTATACACGGGGGATCTGAAATTCTCAGCAAGAGGATGAGAGGCTATAAAATTGGAGAGTTAACCCACGAATTTCAGAGAGACTAGCGATTTCTTGGCGAGTTCTTCAGCATAAAGATGAAGAGTTCGAGAGATCTTAAGCTCGTTCCACCATTACTTGAGATCAGACTTTGTTTTGATCTCGAGAAGAGTAGTAATCTCACTTTGTTGAGATTATTTACCTCTATGATTATTTCCTTTATGAAGTAAGAACATTAATCTTTTATTCCGATCAACCGGATGTGATCCACGATGGTCCACGGATAAACCCTGACACGGGTAAAGATCCAACACAAGCAGCGGGTGATAAATATTCTTTGCATGTGTTTCTAGAGAGTTGTATTTTCATTTTTTTTATTCGTGTAAGAAAAGTCTTATAAAAAACTAACTCATTCAAACTTGTTGTAAAGGATTAAAGTTGTAATGAGTTCCATAAATAAACCAACTTTTGACGCAAACACTAGCCTCTTGGCGAATAGTGTAAGAAAAAAAATCTAAATTATGCAAGAAAATAAATGTATACTATGACATAATTGTAAGAAAATAAAGACATGAAAGTAAATCTACTCTACAATGCATGAAAGTAAATCTAATTCAAGAGGGTTCTAGCCCCTTGAATATCTTAAGCAAAAGAAAAAAAAATTATCAGAAAGTAAAAAGATAAAAGAGAAAATTTACATTCTTAGAGGATTCTAGCCTCTTGATGAAGGCAAATCTTCATCTTGATCTTCATCTTCATCTCATCTTCATGTTCATCATCAAACAAAGAGAAGAAAAGGAAAATATGAAGAGGTGAAAATAATATTTTATTAATTGTAATAAAAAGTTATAATTTTGGAAGATATTCTCAATTATGAGTAACCATCCTCTCCAAAAGGACTTTTTATAAAAAATTTTACACTCAAACCTCTCACTCTCTACCCCTATTTATAGCCTATAACAAGCAGCAAGGATCATTGGATTTTACTTGGGCTCCAATTATTAAATCTTAGCCATAAAATAAATTTGTTACAAACCAATTGGTCAGTCAACTGATAAGAATTCTAAATTTTTAAAAATGCAGTTAGCTCCATCTCATTGAGATATGCAATTTTCATACATTATATATTAAATTCCGCATTCCGAATTAAGATATATCGCTGTTTCTTTGTGGCTAATCATCTTGAACATAATTTTTACTTGACTTTCTTTTCAGATTGGATCCTTGTCTCTTCGGCATCTTTAGATTGCTTGGCTTGATCTCAGCTTTAATAAAAGGTTAAAAAAATAAGGAAATTTGAGTCCTTTTTGAGGTTTTATTCATTAATTCTTCATTAACCTGCAAATTAAGATAAAATATGTTTATTAGTGATATTGTTATTTAAACAAAATAGATAATTAGGGTAAAACATGTAATAAAAATTTGATTATGAGAAGGTAAGACATGGGAGATCACCAAACCCGCGAAAGACAAATAGCTAGCAGAATTCACCATTGTAAGGAAAAAATGTCTATCTTCTTCAATTTTGAAAGTACAATGCTTTATGGGCTTGACTTTACGTTCTGAAAATAGTAGCTAACAAGCTAGAAAAACAGATGTATCAATTATATTTTAGAATCTAAGCTAGTCTACAAAGTTTAGAAGACTATATTTTCCAGAATAAAAAAGAAGAGGAAAACACATTAACTTAAAGCTTTTATAAATGCAAGAACAACAACAATAAGAAATACTAAATAAGGAAATCATTAGCAAGAAATTAGGTCAATTGATTAGATTTATGTAAGGGCAAGGGTTTAAATATTAGATATCGGGAAAATAACAGATGGCAAAAATTCATATTGAATTGCGGATATGAAGGAAATGTCAGGGATATATGGTAAATATCGGAATGTCATAACAGATGTTTGTACATGTAGCATAATGTGCTAAAATGTAATCTTAACATACTTAATGATATCTAAGCGTATTAAATATAGATAATATATGTTTAGTAATCAACCATGTAAAACCAACATAGTACGAATCAACGTTGTAAAATTGTCTATATTTTTGGGCCAAAATATCACTTGATATAATGGAAAAATCATAATATCTCGCGCAAAATGATATCTCACCCAAAATTTGCCAAACGCGCTATATTGTTTTATGACAAACCATTATAAAAGAATATATCAGCCAACATATCGACTGATATATCAGCCATATCAAGGATATACAATCCAGAATAGCCAAAAAGTGATAATTGATATTTAGAGAACATATTGGTTGTGACTAGCCCTGTAAAAGGATGTATTGGGTGAGATATCGAACCATGTCGGGGATATTTAAAACAATGTGGGAGGGTTTATAAATATGGCCACACATTTTCCAGTCCATGAGTATGATGAAGATTCACAACATGCTTAAGCTGTTGTATTCGTTACCATGATTAATTCATAGAGATTAACATGAGAGCGGAAGCATACCTGAATCCATTTTGATTCACACGAATTTGAAAATTGGATTATGGATCTTCTAATATTGAGGGTTCTCTCTTGAGAATTCTCTTTAGATGGGGGTAAAGAGAATGAGAGTGTAACCCTAGATTAGGGACCATAACCCCATATTTATAGGTTTTGTGCTTTTATAGTTTACCCCCTCATCAAATTATAAATACAATCTGGTATTTATAAATTTAACTCATGATTTATTTAACACCCATTAACCCAAATTGATTGATCACTTTAAGCAGCTTATCCTTAAAGATAGCAATACACACTGATTAATTATATGTGCCTACAAATTAGATTTAATCAGATTTAAATCCAACAATCTCCCACTTGGACACCATATAATTCCTTAAAGGGTGTATAACCATATAAGCGTAAAAATTACTATCACTGAAAATGGTATTTCCAAACAATCTCATCCATTGACTATATCAATATAGGATCAAAGCAGCCTTTGTCATATTTATCGTGACTCGACCCATCAATGGTCACATATATCAATATAATCAAATAATATAGATCAATCTTGGATGTGCAGCATGAAAATTTTATGTAATGTGATCAGTACATGTATATTTTCAACTAGTCTTACCTTAAACTTTAGTGAGGTCAACCTCAAACATAATATACCAGTGTATAAACTAAAAACTTTATTCTGATTAGACAATACAACCTAACATGTTTTGCGTTACGTGCTAATAAGAATATGTTTTTGAGTAAAAGTGCAACACACAAAACCTGGAAGAATCTCATTTTCCTGTAATCGGCCAATCGATCCCTAGGGATCAGTCGACCGATTGTGTCGTCCAGGATATTTAAATCCTTTTTGGTCGGTCGACTGGCTGAGAGCAATCGGTCTACCGATAGGGTCTTTTTCGAGTGCATTTTGTGCATGATTGCCGTCGGTCGACTGATGCGCTAGGGGCAGTCGACCGACACTTGATTTCTTTTGTTTGAGGTGATTTCTCTTGAACGTTTAATCGTGAATGCGGGGTTCGAGCTATACGATGACACACCTGCAACTACGGATGTACACAAATTGAGTCATATAACACATATACAGGTATCCTGAAGAGAATTATTACAAGTATTATTTCGATCATATTTGAGTTAATAATTAATTATAATATGTATGCATGTATGGATATCGTTGATGAGCACAGCTCAGTACTACTTGGGATAGTGCGTCGATATGCCGTTAGTATAGGTTATTGAGTCATGATTTTAGGATACCTGACTTGGTAGTCCATCCCGCACGATGATGCGATGAGGCTAGAGAGCCGTACTTCTAGAATACCTGATTTGGTAGTCCATCCCGCATGCTGATGCGATGAGACTAATGAATCATGTACATATATAGGATGCCGGATTCGATAGTCCGTCCTACATGATAATGCGATGAGTTATAAAGCCTTACGAGATATTGTATTATGATATATCTGATAGCCTGAGTCTCTGGCAGAAGCTATTTATGAATACAATTCATCGCTGAGTTATATTGTGACCAGATTACTTCGCGTTTGGGAGTTACAGGAGATTTAGTTCTTGTATCCACATCATCTACCCAAGGGTAGCGTGAGTTATATGGTCGATATTTATGATATTATAGTAACTTTATTTTTCTATATTGCTTTCCATTATCTTTTATTCTTCGTTTGGAATTGATATTTAGCGATTCACAATTTGAGACATATGATATATACATGAGGGTTTCCTTGTTTGGATTATTTCGATCGACATACTATGTCTTGTGTTGTGGGTTTCTAAATATTAATCCTATTTAGATACATGGTAAATGATTTAGGTAGACTATGCATAATAGATAGAGCTCCATCATATCTAGGGGCGGATGGAGATGATCTTGCTAAAGCGCTCTGACGTTGTTGTTGTTGTTTTTTTCCTTCTTTTCAGGCAGCGGATCAAAGTGTTGGAGAGCCGCAGGTTGACGGTCTTACAGCATAGTCGTCGTCGCTTATTTTTAGTAGTTCATGCTCCACAGTCATTTAATTATGGTTCAGCTGATCATTAGACTTGTATTTCATTTTTTAAAGGCTGTGTGCCTTAGTACTATTTTTATTTGACTCTATGTATTAAGTTACTTCACATTTATTTCAGACATCAGTTGTACTTAGTTTTTATTTAGATGGGACATGAGTATGTTTATTTGGATATCTCTTTCTATGTCATGTCCACTGCATTTATTTCTCTTATTTTGCGTGCTTGTACCTACACTTATCTTTGATCCCACTAGAGAGATATTACTATGATGGTGAAATATGTTGTTGTACAGTATGGGTGCATGGTAGGTTTGACATCTCTAGGTTCACCTTGGACTGTAACCATGTGTGAAAACAGTGGCATCATAACAAGTTACCTGTTGAGCTGATAAGTTTACAACTTGAATGTCTAGAATGTTAGGATTCCATAAGATCAAAGTCCTAGCTTTTTCTGAGCTATTAACATTTGAAAACCATTTCCAAATTTTAGCAATCCTTTTTTGCTATATCTGGAACATTTGTATCCTTAATTTTTGTTTCAAGAAGAGAAAGGAAAGAAAGATGATACTGCATTTGGTGAAGTTTAACTAAATGTTGTTTAGGGGATTTATTTAACCCTCTAACATTCCAGAAGAATAGATTCATAAACTCATGCCTCCTCTATCAATTGTAGAGGGATCAATTTCACTAATCTTATTAATCAAAGGAGAGAAGGGATTCATAGGCATTGAGTTCATCTTCTTTTGAACTTGTGCCCTTGATCTGTCTGCATGTGTGGAATCCTTGCTTTTGGCATTAACACTAGAATCTTGTAGCTGGGCATGCACAACATGCACAGAACAGTGCGGGACAGAGTCACTACTTAACCCGGTATTCATATTTTGCTGCAATACCCCTACTTCCTTTTCTTGCACATCATGCACTGATCTTTGCACATCTGAACTGCTTTCTCCTTGCACATATTGCACTTGAGCATTCTTATCATTTTGTTTCCACGGATTTCCTACATTTTATCATGCACAGCTTGATTAGCCACCGCATTATGTTAGGAATCCATCTTTGGACCATAGGCTTGTTAAACCCTAGAAGGGGGGTGATTAGGGTCTTATGCTAATCTAATCCGATTTAAATACCAATTAAAATTAATTAACAAGTTATCCTAGCAAGTATGAAATATAACAACTATAAAAGCTAGGATAAGCAATATGAACAAAGAGATATATCCTATATGATGAATATATATATGCAAGGATATAAAACTAACACAAGGGGTAAACAATATGAACTAGATAGTGGATCATATAAATAATGAGCTAATGACAAAGGTGACATGAAATATAAACACAAGTATAAATAAACGCCAAAGCACACTCAAACACAAGATATGATCATAGAGTTCGGACCTTCCGTCCTACGTATCCGCTCCCCACTTCCGGGGAGAAATCCACTATCACAACCGGGTTTTCCACGCTCACCTGAATAACGTTTACACCTCACAGTGTCGGTTTTCAACGCTCACCGAACAACGTCACTCCTCACAATCGGTTTTCTAGTTCACCGAAAACTTCACAACACACTCGGTTTTCTAGCTTACCAAAAACCGTACAATCTCATAATGTAACAATAAATGATTTGTTCTCTCATACAAGGTTAGAACTCAATTAAGCACAACTCAATGTTACAATCTCTCACAACCCTAATATACTATGTATGCAAATACAATAAGCTCAAAGTGGGTGTGTGTAACAATGAGTGAAATCAAAATCAAACTAAACTCAAATATAAAATCTAGCTTAAGAACAATGATAATCAAACAAGTATATAAATGTAAAGCTAGAGTTTGAGTTTAGAAAACTTCTCAATTGATAACAAGAGATGGAGGGAGGATAGTTGGAAGATCAAACTTCAATAGATAATCTCCTCAAGCTCTTGTGGAATTGATTCACAAAACCGAAACACTCAAATGCTTAAAAGCTTCTTAAAACAAACTTAAACAAACACTAAACAAGTTTAAACCCTTGTTTAAAAACTTCTTTAAAAACTTCTTAGATTTTTCTTAAAAGAGAGCAGCAATAAGGTATTTATACCCACTCAAAAGCTCAGCCAAAACCCCCAAGCAAAAGTCCAAAAAGCCCAGAAAAAATCAACTCAGGAAATAGCCGTTGGGAAAGCAACGGTCACATTGGCGGTCGACCGGAAATTCCTGCGGTCGACCGATGGAGCTCTCGGTCGACCGGACCGGTCGAGCGACAAACTCTCTGCTGCCCACTAACGGCTGAACATATGAGCGGTCGACCGGATCGGTCGACCGAAATCTGATATATGAAAATCTGATTTCCTGATTTTAAAACACTGTTTAAAAATATCAAATAAATTCCAAAAAATATAAGACTTTGGGGAATGATTGTAGACATGATAATAAACATGCTACAATGACTGGTTTCCAAAAAGGACTTCCTAAATGAAAAATATCATCATTTTGCAAAATAGTCCAAAACACGAAAATGTAAACATATGAATTTTGACATTTAGGCTAAACTATGTTTTGAAACTCTGCACAATAATTTTGTAGACTTAATAAAATATGTATATGATTATTAATAAGTCCAAAAACTAAGAATATGATATTTTCACAAATACATTAGAGAATGAAACATAGGAGTATGTATATGAAAATATATTTGTTTCATATCTAAGTAGTTAAACCAAATCACAATAATAAATATGAAATATATAATCTCATATTTATAAACATGAGAACACTATATATATATACGAAGAAACCAATAAATGTGTGTGTATAAGATATTGAGCTTAGAGTATATAACACACATAATTAAATTTTAAACTAAATTACCCAAGCTATGATCTTGATCTTCATTGAGCTCAACTTGGTACACGTTGCGGATGAAGCTAAACTTGGATCTTAAACTTGAATTGTACGATGCTTCACTCCACTATTCCTCCAACCTTCATTGGATATCGTCGTTGAAACGCTATTCCATCCATCCTCCAACTACGTTGTTTGTCTATAATAAATAAGAAAACACAAATACTAGACAAACAACATTAGAAGTAAATTATTTGTTAAACATCATTAAAACAAGAAGGCCAACAATCTCTCCCCTTTTGATGATGACAAACAATTTATAAAAAAGAATATATGCATGAAAGGAAATGAATATACAAAGTATAATATATCAGGCATATAAGAAAGAAATGATATACTGACAATATTTCTCCCCCTTTGACAACATCAAAAAGGAGACAAAAGAATTAAGAGAGCGAAAGCTCCCCCTATCAATAAGCATAGGTGAGTATCAAACAAGTATAGGGAATGGCTCCCCCTATCAAAAAGCCATATGAAATATAAGCAATAAAAGATCATGGCAAACATGTGAGCAAGCATAAATAATATGCCAAAAATCACTCACATTCAAGAGATAATGAGAACATATATAAATATATCAAGATGAACATATTGTCTCATATCATAAAAGCCAATGTATAAAATAGATTTATGAAATCAAAAGAAGAGAAACATGAGAATCATGTAAAAAGTTTTCAAATAAAAACAAATTTGATCAAAGAAAATTTGTTTTCATAACCAAAAATTTTAAGATATAATTTTCAAAAACCAAGAAAAGGAAAAATAAGAACGCTAAAAATCTTGGTTTAAAATTTAAATTTGTTTTGGTACCCAAGAACTCTTGGTACCAAAAGATTTAGGGACATGACCCCTATCATTAAAGCTCAAAGCCTTAGGGTTATGAACCTTCTTAGGCATATGTGGTGCACTAACACGGTCAAAGCAATAATCGCTCAAATGACCCTTCTGATTGCAATACGTGCAATGAAAGAGGTTAAATGATTTGTGTTGACCAAGTGGGCGTGCACGAGAATCATTTGCAAATAAAAGATTTTTCTTTTAAATTATTTCGCAAATGAGAAACATCATTAAACAAAGATGGTTTGTTTGGAGCATTTTGCAAAATAGGAACTTTTTGCACATCAAAACAAAATTTAGCAAGATGTCCAAACCTACCACAAACATCACATTTAAACTTTTGTGGCTTAATAAAATCATTTGGCAAAGGTGAAGTCTTTTTTAAATCATAGCAAAATTTTGCCAAATGGCCAAAACGTCCACAAAGATCACATTTAAACACATTAGCATGCTTATGATGAACTTTGTGAGAATGAGCATGTGAATGTGTAAGTGTACAAGATGAAGAAGCTACATGAGATGCACAAGGAGCATTAGAATTCTTATGTTTGTGTGCACCATAACAAAATTTAGATAAATGATATTTTCGGCCGCAAATAGAGCATTTGTAAATTTTGCTATACATGTGTGCATAATGAGTGGATGATTTTGACTTAGTCTTGGTACATATATCCATAAGCCTCTTATGATTATTAATGCATGTTCTCAAAGTTGAATCTAAAGATTAAATACTATTTTTCATAAGATTCAAATCTTCATTTTTAGGCACATATGCATCTTTAGAAGTAGAACATAAATAGTTATTTATAAAAGAAGCTGTATCATTCTTTATGTTCTCTACTTCTAACATGGCATCAATCTTAGCATGAGATAGGCTAGCAATAGATGAGATCAAATTTTCATTTTCCAAATTTAATAAGTCATTGCTTTCTTTAAGCAAAGTATTTTTATTTTCAATGACATCAAACTTGGACACTAGCTTCTCATGATCGGATTTTAAATTATCATGCTTGCATTGTAAATCAACAAAATCTTTATGTAATTTGTTAAAGGCATGCAACAATTTTTCACTAGCACAAGCAAGTTCATCATTAGGTAAATCATTAATAGATTCGCACTCGCAAACCTCACTAGGGCTATCGCCTAGTGGCCGTGTGCATGAAGCTCCGTATGAACTTGAAGTCGGATCCTCCAAAGCTTGTTGGATTACCTCCAAGTTCCCTTGATGTGCTTCTATA